ATAAAACAGACAGCGTTTTATCTGCTTGCCTGTTATGTACCCTTCAAAATTTTTTTAAAAAAACCTGAAATACACAAAAACGTTGCCTCAGGCAGCGTTTTTGGTATTTTCAGTTTTTTTTTTCGATTTAATTTGTTTTTCACAAAATACGAAATTTAAAAAAAATAAAAAAAATAATGGGTAAAACGCTGACCGAGACAGCGTTTTCCCTCAGAAGCTTAGTTTGGTAAATAGTTTGGCCACACGCCTAGATTGGTAAATAGTTTATGTATTAAGCTCAATTTGGTAAAAAATCCTGCTCCCTAAATCCTAATTTATTTATTTATTATTATTAATTCTTTTTCAGTTTACACTTGTATTCATATTTATTATGTGGTACCCAACTACAATAGTTGGGTAGCCATTATATTTCAAAAAAAAAAAATTATGTGGTCTTGCTTGATTTGTATAGGTAGGTTGGTATAAACGAATACGAAGTATGTGTTATGAGACTTATGACTCCCTCAATTTCTTATTGTTTTTTTTTTTAATTTAATCAATTTGTCGTGTAAGTGTGAGCATAAAAATCTATGTGTAGGTAAAATGAAGTCATCTCCTCATTGAGCATCTCAGGCTAATACACTACTTAATGGCGGCCGAGTCTCTTGCATTGCAAGCCATGCATGTCAAAGCTACGTACTACACGTAGTTATAAGGCAGTTACGAAAATGGTGCAGCAATTACTAGTTTTCTGGGTAATTTCATACAATTATGAATCTGGGTAATTTTGTTTATAATCTCACTATTTTCTGGGTAATTTCATACAATTATGAATTTTCATGTATTTTTTTTTTTAACTTCCTATTTTAGTTTCAGGGAAATATCTCACCATTCAACCTCAAGAACTAATTTGCGATCGGACCAAGAAAACCCCATCTTAAAAAAACCTTGCAGAAAGAACCGCCAATAGCAATATTGGTTCTTCAAATACAACTGCTACCAACAATTGCGGTTATAAATGTAAAACCGCTATCACCAATTGCAGTTTTTCACTTTTTTTTTTAAAAAAAGGCTCATCAATGAATTTGTAACTTTAGTAACTAAAAAAATCCCTACCTTATAAAAAGTGGAAAAAAACTCTTATGAACAGTGTTAGGACATATATACCCCTTAAAATGTTAATTTACGAATATACCCATGCCCACTAATGTTAATTAGTATATGCTTGTCTCTATGTGTTTTCCTTGGAACGATGTGAATGCTTTCCGGCTTTTTCTCTTTTCTCCTCCTAAGCGTCCCTTTCTCCTTTGTTTAAACAAACTATTAGTTCTCCATTAAAGCACCTACCGAGCTTTCTCTCCTCCATTGAAGAAGTTTCTGAGATGAGGTAATTAAATTATCGAATATCAATTTGACAATTTGGGTATATCGTTAATTTTTTGACTAAATTATTGAATATCAATTTTACAATTTGGGTATATCGTTAATTTAAATTGTCACATGATTTGATATATGTATGTGTGTGTTTTTATTTGCAGATTTATTGAGTAGCTTAACAATTTGAGAGGAAGAGGCATGGCTTCAATGTAGTCGTGGTTTGATTATTTACTCATTTAGTTTAAATTTGTATTTGATTATCATGGTTATTTTAACAAATCAAGATACACAATTCATGTCAAATCTACGAAAGAGATGATGAACATATAGAAATATTACAAGAGAGTGTCAATATTCCCTTTTTATTGGCAAGTTTATTGTTTGTGGTTGGTGCAATTCTCAATGGCCACAACCCGCGAGCAATCAAGATGGATTTACCGTGGGCTCATGTTACTTGCTTGTAAGTCATTTTTTCCCCAAGCTTGTGAATATTGCTCTGATTTCCCATCCTATATCTTGCGAGCTAGGCCTATGGTTGTTACGGGACACAATGCATTAGCGAGCTCCCCAATTAAGTCTTATATTAGTTGGAGATGATATGGTGTACTTTTTTTTTTTTTTTTTTTTTTTTTTTTTTTTTTTTGACAACAGCAGAAACAAAGGAAAAAATAAAACAACTAAAAAACATCAAAAACAGCCGAAATGGTGTACTATAGAGTACAAACTCATATAAACTATGACATGGCTCACTTTTCTTTGACTTCACTCTTCAATTAAAATCATGAAACCTTATAGTTTGTCAGTACATGTGTTTTTAAGCTAATTAAATGCTATACAGTAAAAATCTAATCTATGACTTCAACTTTTTTTTTTTTTTGTTTGAGGAACTATGACTTCAACTAATGAATTAATGTTAAAATGCATGCAAGGTAAAACATGGGTATGATTGGGCATATTCGGAAGCTTACTATTGTTCATAGGAGGATTAATGAATGAGGCGAATAATGCAAAACACATGATTTGACGAATTTGTTGTCTTGTTGATGAGTTTTTTGGGTGTGATTTGGGTTAGATCAACATGGGTATTTTATCTGAATTTAATTTTGCAATTGTAATTGATTTGAGGTTTATTGTTTTAATTATTTGTGATTATATTGTTTACAAGTGACCTTTTATTTGTTCATTTTTTTGACTTTCTATGCTCTCTACTCTGCTTGTTTTACACAGAATTCCTTATTTTGATCTTGATGGTCTCAATGAATTGTGGAAGAAGGGGGATTTTCACTTAACTACTTACATATGCTCATTTAATTACCCTTTATTTATGTAATTGAAAGTCTAAGTGATTATGATTTTGTTTAATTTTGAGTTAAATTGTCACCAAATTTACATGCCTACTAATATAATGGTGGCGGACTAACGATTGATTTTTTTATTTTAAATTGTTTTAATATTATAATGATTTTTGCTTCATGGCAGGATACAATCATGGCCATAGTGTCTGTAGTGCTAGAAAATACTTTGTAGAATACCAAATATCCAATATCCAACATGCAACACTTTATACTTTGTATATGTTCTCATATGCTCATCAAGATTGCTAGATATATTATTTACTCGTATAATGCAATTTCTACCATTAACCCTTTTTTCTAATTACAATTCAAAAGTTCCCAATTTGAAAAAAAGTGATGTTGGACAAATAATATCTTGAAGAATATTAATATTTTGATAATTTAATAAAAAAATTAATTCATAAATATAAAGTCATGACATTTATAAAGAAATTCAAATCTATCAAATATGAAGTACACGACAATTATAACAAATGTAAACATGTTATTGCAAATTAATTTAGATTTTAGAATTAAAGATGTTTTATGAATACATTTGTACATTTTATTATTTTAATCAAAGCGCATTTGAAAGCTACATATTTCATTTTAAAACCCATTTGTTTTATTTGTTTACAATGAATAAAAATTTGTTATTTCAATTCATTTACAAGTGTGAAACGATACTTTTGGTTTATGCACTTTACTTTTATATAAATTACCACAAAGAAAGAACATGTGATCAATGTTTCATATCATACATGCACGCTATGTGATGTTCTTACTACACTACATGTAAATTGTATCATACTACCTCTGTTTTTTTTATGTGCAACTTTTGCCATATTAGTCTGCTCACTATTATGTGCAATTTTCTATTTTCTTTCTATTTTTAGTAAACAAAAACCCTGAAAATTACAAATTCACCCTTACTTAAACAGATTTTCTTAATGTTACCCTTATCTTATTTTAATCACAATAACTTTTTTGTCTAATCTAAAATCATTAACCTAATTTTACCCACCCATTTACTCATCTACCCACCACCCATTCACCCTCTTCATCTCTGCTTCACCCTTTTCATCTTTTCATCTCTTTCACCTTCACCCTCTTCATCACCCTCCTCCCTCAAGACTCACAACCACCGCCTCTCCCACCACCATTCTCTCTCCTCCTTCACAAGAGTCCGGCGTTTTGCTCCCTATGACCACGACTTTCTGCTCCCTATGATCACCGGCTTTCTCTCTTCATCTTTTTTTTCGTTTTTTTTGGGTGATTTATATTCGAAATTTCTGGGTTTTTTTTTTCGATTTTCTGAGTTTCGAATTTTTGGGTTTTGATTTTGATTTTGATTTTCTGGGTTTGGATTTTGATTTTCTGGTTTTTGATTGGAGATGGTGGAATTGTTTCTGATTTGGTTAGTTGCAGAGGCAGGTGGTGGGTTAGATCGGCGAAGGACGGTTCCGCCATTGTTGTGGGTTTTGATGAGCTTGAGGTTTGATGTGATCTCGAGGTTCAATGAAAAATAGGGTACTTTTGACTGCTGTGAATTTGATTTTACTGCCAAATGCACCCAAATTTTACCCCAATTTTTTTATTGAATACCAATAAATTCAAATTAGGGCTTGTAAATTTCTGGGTTTTGATTTCGATTTCGATTTCCTGAGTTTTGATTTTGATTTTCTGGGTTTGTATTTTGATTTTTTGGGTTAGAGATGGGTTTGGGTGGTGGGTTTGGGTGGTGGGGTGGTCTGGGTTAGGGTTGGGTCTTGGTGGCGTGGGTGGTGGGGTGGTCTGGGTTAGGGTAGGGTCTTGGTGGCGTGGGTGGTGGGTCTAGGTGGTCTGGGTTAGATCTGGGTTTTCGTGGGGTTGGTTATGGTGGTGGTTTTGTGGGGGTGGTAGTGGTGGTGGTGAAGCCGGCGGTGGTGGTGGTGAAGGCAGCGACGGTGGTGGCTGGTCTTGGTGGTGGCAGTGGGTGGTTTGATTAATTATCCAAACATTCTCTCTCCACGTTAATTACATACTCTTATAATATATTAATAACCATTATACTTTCTTAATCTTTGCCCTTCAATCTTTTGCCTCGTGCACCGTTTTATGTGCCAAAGTTGCACATAAAAAAACGGAGGTAGTATTAGTTATCATACATTTTGATCTATTGAGGCGAGACGTTTTATAGATGCTTTGCTGTTTCTCATACTCTAGCAGGAGAACATCAAACCTGCTCTATTCTTTTTAAAAGTTCACTACACTTAAGTTTAATAGTTTAAAGGTACTTAAGATTTCATATATCATTTCATGTTTGTAAATATGTGCAAGATTACAAACTACTAAAATGATTTATACATGTAACTAAATAAACTGCATACCAAAAGTGTAAAGACCAGCCAATATAATTTTAAGACATTGGCTAGCCATAATATGCGTATCGCGGGCCATTAGCTCCCTAGTAAAAATAAAACTCCCATATTAATTTTCCATTTCAATCACATGCAAAACATAAAATCTCAGCCGTATGATCATTTATTCATCTCCACAAACTCTCCCATACCATCACGTAATTATAAATATAAACCGTTAAAGAGAGAGAAAGTTGAAAAAAATTCAAATTATTTTCAGAGGCCCGCCATTTTCAGAGGAGAGAGAAAATTACAAAAAAAGAAAACGAAAATGGAAGATTTTCCAACTGAACTCGAACTGACAGCTGCTTCTGCTCTTCTCCTTCTCTCCACCAATTTCTCTCTCCCAAAAACTTCAACAACAACAACAACAACAACAACAACAACAACTTCATTGTAATGCGAAATTTTCGATCAAAATCGTTTGTTTTCTTAGAATTTTTGGTCGAAATTTTGTTTGAATTTTTGATCGATTTTACTTTTGCAGGTCGAATTTGCAGGAGGAATCTGTGAAGGATTTTGAGAGAAATTTATGTGGGAAATCTGTTGAAGTTGAAGAAGCGACGATTAGCTTGGAGAAGAGTAGTGATACGACGCCATGTCGATCTTCGCTGACGAGCGATTACTCTGTTTCGACTCATCGCTTGCAGCTCATGGCTTCTGCTGTTGCTCGATACCGTTCGATGAAGCTTAAGGTCATTTTTCTCTCAATAATTTTGTTTTCTGGAATTTTCTGTGAATGTGTTCTTCGTTATACTCTGTTTACTAGTTTTTGTTGGATCACATTTTGATTTCGAATTCGTTTTATTCTTTGATTACTGCTTTGTTATTGAGCTGGAGGAAATTGAACGATTACTAGCTCGAATTTCATAGATTTTTCTGCGATTGAGTTGAATTTTTTTTGAAGTTCAGCTAATTACGTAACTGTTATGATTATCGAGCAAAATTTACGAGTTAATTAGGTCATTTTCTGCAATCTTCTGCCAATTTATGCTTATTGCTTTTCTGTTTATCATTATTTATTGATTCATAATTTGAATTTCGTTTTAATCTACATGCGTTAATTGTTTTGCGTTTGATCTAGAGCATTTGCTGAGTTTACTAGATTTTGTTGGATCAGATTTTGAATTCGAATTTGTTGTATCCTCTGATTATTGCTATTGGAGGAAATTGAAGAGATTATTAGGTTAAATTTCATACAATTTTCTGCCATTGAGCTGATATTTTGCATTTTTGTTTAATTTTAGCTTTAATTGAGTAAATTTTATGAATGTTGAGCCAAATTTAAGAGTTAATGAGTTCTTTTTCTGTAATCTTCTGCTAATTTGTTAAGAATTCCTCTTAATTACGGTGTAAAATCTTTTCATCAGTACTTGTTGATTTATATTTTGAATGTCGGCTCAATTTGCATGCGTTAATTGCTATGCGTTTGATCTGCAGTATTTGCTAATGTACTAGTAGTTCGAATTTGATTTGATTTTATTAGTATTTTTTGAATGCTATAATTTTTTTGAATGTAAATCGTAAATTCAAATTGTTCTACGTAATGTAATTTAAAATTCGCAACAATTTTGATGCTCTGTTTTTCTATTTTGCTCCAATTGATTCCACATTGATCAAAATTCGATTTATAGATTCACAAATTCGTTTCGATTGAGCTTCCTATCTGCTTCAGATTTGTATTTCGAGAAAATTTTCTGGAGTCTCTGTTTTCCGAATCACTTGATTATTCCAATTCTTCAAGTTCACGAGTTTCTCATTTACAAATTTGAAATCAAAATGGTCAATGAGACTAATTTCTGCTATTTTTTCACAATTACAATAATTTGATATCTAAATGATCAATGAGACTAAATTCACCTTGCTGTTTTTTTGTTTTGTTTTGTTTTTGTTTTTTTTTTTTTATTTTTTATTTTTAGATAGAGGCAGTGTTTGTTTGTTTTGGTTGTAAAATCAATAGATTGATATCAAAATGATCAATGAGACTAAATTCACCTTGCTATTTTTTCACAATTTCTTGTATATAATGTTGATTATTTGAAAGTGAATGACTTTTTTCTGCTGTGTTCTTCAGGTTAACATAAGAAATTGATTTAATAATTCATTACTTCATGAAATTAGCATTAAAAAATATGTATTAATCATCTGGACATTTCAGTACATAGTATATGATGTTAATTTATGCTCATTTTTTTGAAAATGGTAGTGAATGATTTAATTTTTGGTCAACAGGTAGCTCGGAGAGCTAGGACTAAAGTAATTTACAGGGGATACAATGACCAAAAATCCGCACCAAAAAGTTGGGCAAAACCACAAGCAAAGACCCCAAACAAGGCATCAACCTCTCAAGTAATCACAGAAGGCACCACTACCACTACCACAGAGAGCTCATGCTTGTCGAGCGGCGGTACGAGCGAGATATCCAGCGGAAGGAATCGAGGAAAGGCGGCGGCAGCCGCCGTGGTGGCCGAGCAGAAGAGAAGAAGAGGTACAGGACCAACTTACATAAGCCGCAGAGCAGAAGCAATTCTAAGGTTATTGTCATGTAAGGGGTGTGCTTCTGAGGTCCGCATTAGGCAACTTCTTGGTGATAGCCCTGACACCAGTAAAGCTCTCAGAATGTTAGTCAATTTTTTGGCGCCTTTTTATTCTTCGTGTTGAGTTTGAATAATACAGTTGTATGTTTTTGCACATCTTTTTAGTTTTGAAGTGTTAAGTTTGTGGTTTTGTAGTTTGAGTTGATGAATTAGATGTTTTGCAGGTTGTTGAGAATGGAAGAAGTTAAGCGAAGTGGGGCAGGAGGCCGGATTGACCCGTTTATTTACAAGGTAATTTTCTTTAATCCTACACCTCTTGTTAATTATGTGGGACAAAATACAAGTAAATTATATCAACATTAAACTGTAAAATGAATTGAAAAAGGATTTTGGGTGATATCGATGACTAAAGATAAGGACATGAATTAATGGTCAAATAATGGGAAGAGAATTTATAAATGGGGTTTTAAGTAAAAAACTCCGTACTTTGTATCGTATTGTATTACAAAATATGGAGGGAGTACTTCTATGTAGTTTAATTTATTTAATAAATTCAGAAAAGAAAATAGAACTTTATTGTGCTATACTACAAGTTGACTTCACATTTAAAAAGGAAAAAAAAATAAAAAAATTAGATTGTATGACTAGTTTATGTTGGAGTGGGACGTTACTATTAAGCATCTACAGTAGCATTACCTGGCTAATTTGTCTATTCTAGTATAATAATATTGGCTAAATCTACAGTTTATTATTATTAGGTTTTTGAGTGCATGATTTAAATAAGATCCTTTTGATAAATCATGTCAACTGTTTTTCATACAGAAAGTAATACTGTTCATAATGTTCAATAATCAAGTAAGGTTAAATTAGGAGCAGTGTTATTAATGTGGTGTAAATTGTTTTTATGCGAAAGGTGGACCCCACAGATTCTTCTTCCTAAAGAAAGCATGTGGTGGTGACTTATCAGAAACTTCTGATCAATAATTATTCTAAATAACCTATGCATATTCTGTGTGTTATGACCAGATTGCAGATGAGAGTAATAGCAGCATACTTAACTAAAAGCTCCAGATTCAGATTTATTGATTTTGGTTCGCCTTACACAACAAGGTAATTTTGGAAGGTGCACAGAATATAGTTTTTGCAGAAAATGGCTAATAACATTATTGCCAAGGTTCTTTTGGCGCCTTATGTTTAGGAAACAGATGGTACTATATGATTATTAGTACAGAAGTACTACATATATATATACAATTATACTCCATAGTTATAGAACGACAACATATTCAGATTGGTAAATGACCATTCTAAGTAGAAAACAAATAGAAAATCAAATACCTTTGTAATCTCCAACACAATCCCTATTATAGTATGTTAAAGACGTGAAGTTTTCGTACAAGCAAACCCCTTTTACAGTACATACATTGATTTTATTGACGCAATGTTATTAATACAAACAATAGGTCAATAGCTCGTAAGAACATAACAGTATACTAAAAAAATAAAAACATTTTTTTTTCTAAGGGTAATGGCTATTGGTCTAAAAAAGAGGTATATGTAGTAGTACTTCTGTATCAGTGTATTACAGCATCAACCAACACACATCAGAAAGTCATCCAAGAGACCAAGATATGATAAGTATGTCATCCTCGCCTTTGACTGCACAGTCCCTTTCTCCTCAGTTTGTAATCCTTACAGTTTAGTTGGAGTCCGGCCACCTCTGAATGAGCCATATAATGGTTGTGTTCTTCTAAAAGTGAAAATATCATCAATGTGAACATACTTTGCTTTTTCTGTGCTAGTTTTATCGACTTCATAGTCTGATAAATGTGAGGATCCGTACACCATTACGCTCAGTGATTTCTTTCGTGGAGCATCAACTTTAATAACTTCATCAAAGAATTCTACTAGCTCTTGTTGGGTCAGCTGCTTTAATGCCGAGACCTGTCATGACATACCAATATGAGCTGTACAACCCAAAAGGAAATCCTATTTTTAGAGTTTTTTGTGTTAATATGGAACACATACCTCAGCTTCTTTCCTGTCAAATTTGAAAGTCCCATCAGTAATCTCTTTCCAGAAGAATCTAGATTCTTCTCTCAGATTCTTGTGCTTCTCCAGTTTGCTGTCAACAAGCGAATTGAGATTTTTCTGTTTCAAATAAAGAAACAGTTAGTCTAAAGTGTATTACACATCAAGAAAGCAGAATAGCAGATCATGAACAAACAAGACTGGCACGTGCTCTATCTTTCCCCCATCAACCCTTGCAGCCTCATTGGATGATTCATTTATAATTCAGAACAAAAAAAAAATAAAAAAAATGCAATTGAACCCTGTATGGTTGGTTGCACCCATATTCACCTATTAAAATGCCAAAAAGATATCAAGTGTGTTCAACAAGAGCTCATCATCGAATTATATTAGATCACTATTACTATTGCCATTGTTATTGCTATTATTACTACGAAGTATTATTCTAAATCTTATAACATCATGCACCATTTTATCTGAAGTGAAAAATTTGCAAGAATTTTTCTTCATCGATACTAAAAATTGATTTATGAAACAAGTTGTCACATATGTTCATCATTAACAAATGCTTTTAATGTACTTACTAATTCAAGCTAGTGCTAATAAATAAGTGTTTAAACGTGTCTAACTTGCCTTGAATTCATCTTCACTAAGCTGGCGAAGTTCACCCTCAAATTTACTGAGGAATGCCTCAACTCTTTGATCAATATGACTTGGACCCTGTATGGTAGGAAAGCAAAGTGATTAACATGGCGTCATCGACAAGCTTTCCAGCAAACATATGCATGTATTGATTGCACCCAGCGTACCTTCGCTGTAGATTGGATGATAAATTGCAATCCATGGATGCCAAAAATATTTCTACAAGAGAGTAATGTCAGTACATACATCACAACAGTTTAAATTACAAAAAATCAGGATCACAAACTTCACCTCTTCATAAGAACAGTTATGTATCCAAGTTGCTCAACAGATCGAAGCTGGTGGAACGTTGGTTGTTTGGCAACAAGAGCAATAAGCTCAAGCTTTACATTTGCCAGATATTCGTCTTGATGTGCCTATGACCATTTAAGTGGTAGTTCATATTAAAACCCAAAAATGCACTCCTTCCGTCCCACATTAAACAACGTATTATTCCAAAATATATGTCTCAAATCAATATGCTTAAGAGTAGCGAAATTTTTTCGACATATCACATATAAATAATAATACTTAAAGAGTACTAACCAATAAGAGTATTACAGTCATTAACAATCCACTGATTAAAATATATGAAAACCTCTCACTCCAAAGATTGTAGGCTTTTGACCTTACTTTAAAAATCAGAAGAACCTACAGTTTCTTCAAATTCATAAATATACAAAAAAGATCTCTAATTTCCAACAGCCAAAAATTAGTTTGGCTTCTCCATAATTCTCACAGGGAGTCTGGGAGCAATAACCATACTTTTTAGAGCCTTATCTTGTCATTTTGCATAAAGTAACTAGTAAGTAGTTCTAAACATATATACAGTGACTAAATTATGAAACTAATCTTATATCTTATACTGAAATTCAATTGAATCAATATCCAATACGCATACAGATTTCAATGGATAATAGTTCAATTGTATCAATATTCAATACGCATACAGATTTAATGGATAATAATTGCTCATATGGTAAAACAATGATCATTAATGGAATGCCAGTGTGATAGTATCATCACAGGTTATGAGACAACAATTTGCAGCATGGCAAGTTCAAAGTTCATAGTAGAATGTACTGTACTTAATGAAATAGTCCTGTTTCAAATCTATGGACTTAGCTTCACGAAATAGTCCTGTTATAAACCTAATGGACTTGGCTTTACAAAATATTCCTATTTAATGGGAGCAATAATGGCTATTAAACCTAACGAATGCCTTGGCATATCCAGTCATATTGATATAGATAAATCTACAAATTTGAAGAGACAACATCGACAGAAATTATAAAGCACTAAAGAAATCATTTAGACTCAAAAAAAGCAAAAAGATTAAAATAAAATAAAATATAATCTGCACATAGAAATTACCTGAATACAGTGAACAAGGCATGAATTCTCATCAGTTGGATTTAAGCCTTTGGCACTATAGCAGTAACGTTTGCCTTTTCCAAGCTTCACAACTCTATTAGTCTGATATTGTGAAGGAAAAAGTGGCAGGCAAAGAGGGTTTGAACCCTTAAAAAAAGCACTTTCAATTTTCTCAATAGTTGACTCAGCTTCACCCTGCTCAATGTTTCCTGAAAACTTACCAGTAAATAGAAGATTGATATAAGATGCATACATTCAAGTAATTTTAGGAATATTAACCTGCAAAATAACACTCCAGAAATGCTTTTGAGAGCATCAAGGGAACAAATTTGAAAAGCGCATCAGCTTCAAGATTGGGTAGAATTTCAAGTTGTTCCATCCAAGGCCAAGAATTGTCTTGTAGAATCAATGAGCAGTAATACATTGCTTGCTGATACGGTTGCTGAAACTTAAAATTTTGATACTGCTTTAATACAGTCTCCTGTGGGGCAGAAGCATTAGTTTAGACACTTGCGATCATTGTAAGTTAATTATATATACATAGAAGATTATACATATGTGCATACAAACTGGCAAGTAGTGATTTTAAAAACGGTAACATAATAAGTCATATGAAACCAATTTATGGTCAAAATCCTTTTCAGATAAGCTTATGCATATAACACAATGATAAGAATAAGTAATGGAGCAAGACTCCGCTCATCATTGTCGTAATTCAATTTTCTTGCACCTATTAAGGGTGGGGGTTCGTTTTGTCGAAAAAGGGGAAAAATGATTTCAAGATTGAAAATGACATAACACATAGTAATTTGTTTAGAACTCCCATCAGCAGACATTGACAGGTCAACAGTAAAACAAGAACAAGTTGGGGCAAAAAAAGAATTTGTTCATGTAAGGCCCCACTGCACACCAACATCGGACCGAACAAAGACCTAGATCAATGGCTCTCGATTTCAGAGGAGACATAACCATAGATCGATCATCTTGATGCGAAATTTGAGCAACTTTAGAATGGAGAAGGCTGTCAAACCTTGCTTAAATGTCAATCTTGGATGGAAAACAATGAATCCTCATCAAGTTGGATATTAGGAATATGAGTATATGACAACTTGCTCAAAATTTGATCACAAACAAGATTTGAGGATTCTTAGTTACCATTTGGATGAGAAAAAAAATACACAAGTTCAATTATAAGTGCATATTCAACAAATTCAAGGGTTAAAAATAATGGTTATTTAGGCATTTAGCAGCTCAATAGGAACTCAGTCTAATCAGGTATTTTTTTTCTCCCTACGCCAGGCAAACTTTACTCCCTAAAATCAGCAATCAAAAGAGAATGTCGTCTCTTTTACTCATTGCCTTTAGCACCTGCACAACTAGGAAAGCTACTCTTTTACTCACCCTAGCCTCTTGACTTCTGTCTATACTCATACGATCATTTATACCACAAAACCTCTTATTAACTTCGATAGTCAACTCTGTATGCAGATTTAATGCAGTTCTAGTAGCTAATTAAATACCAAAACTTCACAACAAAGACATTGCAATATAATCCATGCATGCTTGCGACTTTCAGCACATATAGTAAGTTCCCAGGGACAAGGAGCCTTAAGCAACCAAGAACTTTTAAGTATTTTATTACCAGTT